CCTTGAGTTCTCCCCGAAATGATTTCCGTTCCAAAATAATCTCGAAGTCCGAACCCTTCTATTCAGACTTCTCTCCAAAATCCTTACCCACATATCTCGTTGAGTAGTCAAACTCAAACTCCCAAGTTACACTCTCTTTCTCTAAATTATCCATCACCCTTTGACTCGTCTCCGAATATTGTTCCCTTCCTTGACTCCTTCCTATTCTCCCGAGACCGAGTATCAACCTCGAAATTCGAATCCAGACTCCAACCCTAAAACCTCCTAATTAAATCTCTCTGTGAAAGTCTATTTAACCTCCCTCATAGGTTGGATTCCTTCATCCTTTTACCGGTCCTCCTCTTCCTTCTCTTCCATCCCATCTCTCTCTGAGTCTCGACCTATCCATCTGTCTATCCGTCCCTCTACCTATCAACCTATCTTTCTATCTATCTATCTATCTATGGCATTCTACCGCTATCTCCCTTGTTCCATTTTTGAATAATGATCTTCCCTTTTTGAAATCCTCTGAAATAATCCTTCGTGCCGCCAAATATAAATCTATCCCAAAAATACCAAAATTCCCGCTTTAAAGCCCCACCTTGGTCAAATCCCAACTCAAATGCCCCTCAAATTCCTTAATAGGAAGTTCCAGAAAAAGTCTATTTTATCTCTCTCGTGATGATTTGGGCCGAAACCTGCCGCTGGCCCATCTCTCCTCAGCTCCCTCCATCTCCACGTGCGCTGCACGTGACCACCGAGAGAGAGAGCGCTGTCTCTCTCTCCCTTCCCTCTCTTGGACGTTCTCTCGCTCTCTCGTCCTCTTCCTCTCTCTCGCTGTCTCTCTCTCTCGTTCGATCTCTCTCTCCCACGCCAGCGCTGCCGCCATCGCCAATTTCCCGCTGCCGCCATTCGATTTTCGGCTGTGCCGCTCGTTCCCGCGCGCGCGCACACACTCGTGACCGACCGCCCGGTCGCCGCCACCGTCAGCGCCTGCGCTACGCTGCCGCTCGGCCCCGCTGCCTGCCGCGAGCTCTGCAGCGCGTGCCCGAGCCGCTCCACGCGTGTCCTGCTAAAACCGTGAGGCCGAGCTCCCGCTCCCATCCCTCTCCCTCCCCAACTCGGCAAAGAGAAGAGCTCACTTTTTTCCCCTCCTTTTCCACTTTTGCCCGACACTGCCGGCATCATCACCTGTCGCCGCCTTGGCTGCACGCGTCGATGACCGCCAGCTCGCTCTCCTTGACTGCCAATGTCGGTTCTTCCTCCCTAAACCGACATTGCCATCTAGTAAACTGAGCCACCCCATCTCCCTCTCGTTCATTCCCTCGCCACCACCGTGCCCTTGCCGCCTTGCTACCGCCGTCCTCGCCTCCCTCCTCCATCGCGCGTGCTGGTGAAGCCGGCGTGCGCGCGAGGAGCTGACGCGGGACTCCAGGCGCCGTCTCCTTCCCCTTCCCCGGCCCGAGGCCGGAGAGCTCGCTCCCGCGTCGTCGGCCGCTCGTCACAGCGTCCGTCTCGGCTCAGTAGTGCATCTCCCGTTCTCCCTCCTCGCTCCCTCTCCTCTCCTTAGCTCTGGGCAGTAGTGCGAGTAGCCTTCCAGTAGCAAGCTGGCGCCGCCCCGACCGCCGCCGCTGCTCGCCGTAGGCTCGCCGCCGTCGCTGCCCAAACTCAGTAGTAGCCGCTCGTCGCCGGCCTTCCTCGGTGTAGCTCCACCCAATCCGACTCTAGAAATGAACTCAGGAGGTCGCGTAGATGCTCAAGTCCCTAGGAATCGAGCTCTCATCGCGTCGTCGTCGTTTCCCTCTTTTGCCGCCGCCGGCAAGCGCCGCCGCGATTCGTCGTCGCCGGCCTCCCTCCGGCGAATCCGATCCGGTGGCTCACTCCCTCTCGTCCGTCCCATCGTTCAGGTGTACTCCCTCTCTCTCGAATCGTCACGACGAGCTCCGGTGAACTCGGCCGCCGTCCGCCGTCCATCTCGGCCCGCCGGCCCGCGTGGCTGCCACGTAGGCGCCATCTCGGTGCCACCTCGGCCTTGACCGGGCCAAGCCGGTCAGCCGCCCCCTCCCTCCGTCTTCCCTCCCGTGTGCACGGTCCACGGCAAGCCGTGCGGCTGCACGTGGGCCCGCCACCATCCGTCCACCCGGTGCGCCGCGCCCAAACCACGCGCCCCCGAAACCCTAGCGCCCGCCCCCGCGTGCGCCCTCCCCACCGTGAACCCAACCACCGCCATGTGGGTCCCGCGTGGTGGACCGCGTCCACCCGCGTCGGCCTCTCTCTCCCCGCGCCCCCTCTCTTGGGCCGCCCCTCCCGCGCTCGCGCCGGCCCATTAGGTCCGGCCAAGCCGCATAAACCCCTCGGGCCGCGCCTAAGCCGCCCGAGGAAGTCTATATGGCATCCCTCCTTTCTTTTTTCAAGGGATTTAATAAACCCTTTTTCCCCTATTCCATAAATCAATTCCTTATTCCCAAAATTCCATAAATCATTTCCTTGGTCCCGCACGTCAGTGACGGTCAATAATATTCTTGAGAATATTATTTCTATAAATTTCATAAATCAATTTCCTCTTGTTCCACAAATATCTTCCTTTGCCCAGAAATTCCAATTAAACTTCCAAAATTCATATCTCTCAATCCGTAGCTCTGATTGACTCCGTTCAACTTCCAGTATTTCCATAAAATTGAGATCTATTTAATGTCACTACTAATTAGTCTAAATAGGATCTTTCTTTTGGTCTTTTGTTTAGGTTTTCAATTGTTTGCGTATAGTTGCGGTTACCGGATTTTCGTCGATCGCGGGTTTTCTCGAAGATTCGTGAAGCTTCGTGAAGACCTTGAGCAAGGCAAGTCACCCTTTGACCAATTGCTCCTATAATTGGAAAATCATTATTATTTTGTTTGCAACTTGCATTATTAGAATCACACACTCAACTTGCTTGGTCTCGGTATGCGTGCCAAACCGACGGACCTACCCAGTAGTCGCACACTCGCACTAATTCCTGTAGGTTGTACTACCCTGATTTCCTTGTCACTCCACCTTTGTGGAACCTCGGTATCCGTGCTCTCTGAGCGCGTATACCAAATATCCCACATACACCATTGTTTGTCGAAAACTTGGGAAATGGGTTTGAGAAGCCTTGAAAACCCGACATGTGGCGTCAGTGTGTTTGAAAATAAAATGGATTGTGAAAACTCGCGATGCGGGGGTTGTGCCTGTGTGGCACTGTCCCGTATTCGCATATAAGGACTGATTCCTGTGGGAAATTCATCCGAGCATATAACAAGTGCGACCACACGGGTGCAATGGGACGCCCCTGGCTGAGTAATTAGCTAATCGGGGGGAGCCATGATGCCAAGAGACATGTGGATTCAACGGGGTGGTGTCGGGAAGAACCCTCGGGCTTCCTGGCACAGTATGGTCTGGGACCTAATCTGGTGTTGGTCTGGGACCCCTCTCGTTGGCATATGGTGAACCTGTGTTGGCTTTCGAAATGCCTTGTCATGAAAGCCTTAAGGTCTCCCGACGTGGCTGATCTCACGGGCTGGGTGATCCGGGTTAGTAATGTCGTGTGGGTAAAGTATACCCCCTCTGCAGAGATTAACTAACTGTTCAAACAGCCGTGCCCGCGGTCATGGGCGGATGTGAGGTGTTTCCTGTAGCGTAGATTTGTTTGCCTGTGCTTTGTGAAAAGTTGTTCTGGTGGGGAATCGTTACCATTATCAGCCTATGTGGCAGATGGATGACCTGAGTGGTCAAGAAACGAATCTGTGTGATTCGGGATGTCTACGGGCATCATAGACTAGGCTTCCCGAGTGGAAGCGGATTGTTGTGCTGCTGGGCAGCTGGACTCTGGGAGTCCGAGAAAATGAAAAAGGCTCTGGGAGCCGATTAATCAAGTGGAATGGCTCTGGGAGCCAAGAAGTAATGATCTGACCCGGGAGGTCAGTACATTACCAATTGAGCTGTTGAAAAACATCTCTTAAAGTCGAATCGAGACGCAAGTCTCTTTTCGCCCCAAACTTAGAAAGAAATAAATCACTTAGTGATTTCAAAATGTCTTCAAATAAAAGATTTGCAAAACAACCTTGCCTCTCTTCTAAGCTTGCATTAAACACCTAAATTCCCGTGACTTGCTGAGTACGAAAGTACTCACCCTTGCTCTATATAAATATATATAGTTCCTCCGCCCGGAAGTTGAAGATGACGTAAAGTGAAGATTAGGGTTTCGTCCTGGTTCCCAGCCGTCGCCTGTGGTGTTGGGTGTTAGTCCGTTGGTTCCGCTGCTGCCGCTGTTGTTGGTGTTTCCTCGTCCGCGTCGTCGGTTGCAATCTCGGGCTGTTCTGAGCTGCAACCTAAGTTAAGGTAAATAAGTCCTCTATTTCTTTTAAGGATTGCAATGATTCATATTTGTCACCGTGGGTACCAGCGCTATGTCCTGGGACTGGTACTGAGATCGCAGTTTCGTAGGAAGCGGTTCGTGCCCTTTTTCCCACGACACGCTCCTGTCAGGTGCCGTTGTACGGCGGTGCCAGATTGGGGTGTGACAGCGGAGGAGCGGATGGCAGCGGCGGCGCAGACAACGCAGGCCCTTCCCCTCCCATGTCTGGATGGAAGAGGAGAGCTGGCCTACGGAAGTGGCACTCCCCTTGGACGGAGGTGGAGAGCCGTCTGCCGGAGGGGGAGGGGGCCGAGGAGGCCGGTGGCGGCGCCGGCGGGTAGGGGTGGTGACGGCTGTTTTGGGAGGGGGCCGAGGAGGCCAATGGTGGCGCCGGCGGGTAGGGGTGGTGACGGCTGTTTTTATTTTTGTGCGCATTGATGATTTTCACGGGCAGGTGGAATCTAACACCTACAATAATGGAGATGCCGCCTGATTTTCGTAGGCGGGCATCGCAGGCCTTTGCTTACAAAACTGTTTTTGCCGCCTGGAAAAACTATTTTTCTAGTAGTGTTAGGATGGGTATAATTTTAAATAAATTTTAGATGCACGGGAAATAGTAATTTATTCCAGCAAGCTAGACGGAATATTTGCAATCAGACACAATTAAGTTTGCAGCTATATTATTTTCGAGAGATATTATTATTATGTTTTCACAAGGAGCTGTCACTAGCGTGAGTAGAGTCAGCTGCCCTACGTGCCACTGTCACTGTATAGTGTATAGTGTACACTGTACACTCATCTTGCCGTAGCAGTCAGATGGAGATCCTGATCGATGGCAAGCGTAATCGCTGTCCTGTAACTGACGTTGTCCTTCTTGTCGCGAAGTTTGAACACGAAGGAACGGATCAGCACGGCCGCGAAGATCTTCATCTGCCTGTACGCGAAATCCTTCCCGATGCAGATTCTTGGGCCGGCCTACACAAGATTCACTCAGGTAGTCAGAATTCAGGACTGTCTCATCACCAAGTTCAGAAAATTCGATCACGATGATGGTGAGTTCAGTAAAATTTCACCTGGAAAGCTGTAAACTTGAATGGGCTTTCCTGCTGAAACACGCCGTGCTCGTCGAGCCAACGTTCAGGTCGGAAAGCTTCAGCGTCTTTACCCCACAAGAACTCCATCCTCCCCATCGCGTAGGGCATGTAGAATACCCCGTCCCCCTTGCTGACGCTAAAACCGTTGGGCAACACGTCGTCCGAAAAGCACTGCTTGTTCTCCTAAATCATCAAGACAAACAAGCAACGGTAAGTTTGATATATACTCTCATTATAACTTCCTGATCATACTGTTCATTGGTCAATTGATTGACTGATCAGTGATCACCAGTGGAACTGAAGGGTACAGCCTGAGCGTCTCCGTCAGTGCAGCGTGCAGGTAGTGCATCTTGTTCAGTGCTTGGTCGGTAAGGCTCGTCAAGAACTCGTCGATGGAAGCGCAGTCCCCGGCGTTGGTGGTCTCCATGACTTCGTCGAAAATCTTCTCCTGGACTTCCGGGCGCTTGCACGCCATGTACAGGAACCAAGCAAGCGACCCCGATGTCGAGTCCTTGGCGGCTATGACAATGTTCAGAACAATGTCTCTCAGGTACTTGTAATCAACCGTCCCAGAATCGCTGGTCGTTGCCTGGATGAATCTTGACAGGAGATCATCCCTGGAACGCTGTTTCAGTTACGAAATTCAGCTCAGTTTCAAGCGTCTGGTCACTCACAAATTGATGTACCAACATGCCACTGATGTGAGGTATTGCTTACATGATCTTGTGCCATGGTGTTGGAGAGCTCGTCGGACCTGGCACGGATGAGCTTGTACACGAACTCGTCGACGACCTTGATCCTCTCCTTGAGCGTCGCCTCGGCGCCGACGTTGAGCAGCCTGGCCAGCTTCCAGAACGGGTTGAGGTAGCGGAGCAGGAGGTACTCGCCGGCGTCGTCGAACGCCTTGGCGAAGTGGCGCCCCTCGCCGGAGCCATCCAGCGTGTTGAGGTCTTGCCCGAAGGCGATGGTGAAGATGGAGTCCATCGTTGCTCTCGTCAACAACCCCTGAAGAAACGAACATTTGGACATCAAGAAAACGATCGATGTAGTATACGTCAGTACGTGAGCTTGGTATTGATATGGCATGCATGCACTTACCTTGAAGTCCATGGATTGGTTTGACGCCGCGTGGTTGGAGACGACGCCGGCGAGCTTCGCGGCGTTCCTCTTGAAGACGTCGCTGCTGAAGTCGCGGAGGGCCCTCGTGGTGAAGTCGTAGCTGGCGATCTTCCTCTGCGTCTTCCACTTCTCGCCGTCGACGGCGAAGATACCTTCCCCGAACAGGTCATTCAGGATCTCGGAGTTCAACGGGCCCTTAAACCATACATGGCACATGTCAGCACAATACATTTGTTTTTAAAAAAACGAGTGTGCTAAGTTAAAAGCTAGTATTTTACAAGTAAGAAACAACTACTCTATCCATCCGTCCCAAAATATAAGTATTTTTAGAATATATCAAATCAAACTTTTAAAATTTTAATTATTAATAGAAAAAAAGATTAATCATGTACATTTGATGTTACTAGATTTATCATTAAACAAGCTATCATAATACACTCCCTCCATTTATGGTTATAAGACATTTTAACTTTGGTTAAAATCAAACTGTTTCAAGTTTTATTTAAGTTTATTGACAAATATAATAATATTTATAATACTAAATTAGTTTCATCAAATCAATAATTGAATATATTTTCATAGTAAATTTGTCTTGGGTTGAAAATGGTACTATTTTTTCTACAAACTTGGTCAAACTTAAAGCAGTTTGACTTTGACCAAAGTCAAAACGTATTATAACCTGAAACGAAGGGAGTGCAACTCTTTTTATTTAAAACATCTTACTTTTGTAGATATGGTTGATCAAAGTAGTAACTCGAAAACTATGTCGAAGTCTAAAAATATTTATATTTTAGGACGGAGGGAGTATATAGAAGAAAAAGAAATCTAAGGGATAATCTTTGAGAGTCGTTTAGCTCCTGCTAGGGTTTAGGTTTTAGCCTTCTCCCAGATTTTCGTCACTAGGGTTATCAACGAAAGCACCTTGTATTAGAACGCTTTTTTATTTATCTCCTTGAAATTTCCCATGCCGTTAGTAAGATAAGGAATTTTTTTTATTTATACATTTTTTTATTAAAATATTTATAAAAATAATTTTTTGTTTCGAAAATTTACAAATCTAATCGCCTGCCGCCCTTAGGAAGGGATATTTTCAAAAATCTCCCTCCCAGAGAGCGGCAAGGGACCTAAATACAAAATTTTTATTTGTGTTCAAACCCTTTCCACCGGTTTTAATTGCTTAAAAACTAATAATGCTTATTCGATACTCCAAATGATTTTAAATGAAAAAGTGATAAACTACAAAGTTATAGATCTCATCAAGATCTACAACTTTTATATAAAGTTTATCTCCATCCAATGTCGTTTGAAATGTAGATATGAGATTTTTTTAAATGTGTTTTATATTTTGTAACGAATATTTGGATATGTAAAACATCTTAAATGAAAAAGTTGTTAACTACAAAGTTGCAGATCTCCTGGAGATCTACAATTTTGATATAAAGTTTTATTTCATCTAACTTTATATAATATAATTTTAAATTGTAAAATCATAGAGCTAACAAGTTGTGCTGGAAAATTTGCATTTAGGTCCCTTGCTGCCCTCTGGAAGGGCGATCTCCCAAAGGGCGGCAGGCGATTAGATTTGTAAATTTTTGAAACAAAAAAATATTTTTGTAAATATTTTAATAAAAAAATGTATAAATAAAAAAATTCGTAAGATGAGCGCAATACAATTGGGCCCTAACAGGCTTTTAACTCACGTGCGGCCCATAAGTAGTTGGGCCGGAATGGGTGCGCGATTCATGCGAGGCCCGGTTACTCAGCTTACCTTTCCGTAGCTGGGGAAGTTGGTCCGGAGGATGTGCTCGACGACGGCCGGATCGCACGTGTATATGTTCCGGCGGCCGGGCGTCGCGAGCAGTCGGAATGTCGTGTGCTCCCGGCACAGCGCCGTGTAGTAGTCGTGCAGCCGCCGGACGTGGTACAGCTGGTGGAACACCGTGCCGACCACCGGCGGGTGCCGCCGCCGCCGCCGCCTCGCCTCGCCGTCGCCGGTGGCGCGGGTGACGGCCAGGTAGTAGGAGCAGAACGCCACCAGCGCGACGGCGCCGGCGACGGCGGCCAATGCCGGTGAGTATGAAGAATCGCCGTCCATTCCCATATATGGAAGCTCGTCGTGTGCGCGATATGCTTGCTGCTGCATGCACACCACAGATGCAGGCCTTATAGGCTTATATATCTTGCTTAGTGATAATGTAGGCGTCTATTTATACCCGCGTGAAGAGCTACAAATATGGTTTTCAGCCTCCTGGAAAGTCGAAACAAAAACTGTTTTGAACTGGAGTTCCAGAAAGAAAATGGTTTTGGCGAGTTACTGAAAAATGGTTGTGAACGCAAAGTAAAAAACAATGGATTGAATAATCACACACCATTGGTGATCGTTTGAGTGTTGGACTATAACTCCACTAATAAAGTTTCCGCCGGCAATGATTTACGAGTACGTGCACGGTGCACCTGAAATTCAAGAAGCCTACGATGAATTTGCAACTTCTGGTAGGGCGGCGGCTAGTCTGAGACCACTGTAGATTTGTAGTTTGAAATGCCTTTGAGAAATTCTAGCCAAAATTCGCGGCTTTTTCCCATTTGCATAATTGCATTCCACCACATGTGGGCGGCTCCAGCCCTACACTGCACTACCATAGTCAGACGGTCCCTACAGGCTGCGGATGCGGAGGCAACTTTGTTTCATAACAAAAGCATATTACTACATTTCACAAGCTGTTACTCGTCTAAAGTTAACGCAAATTGTTGATTGAGAAAGCGACAAGATATGATTTTGTGATGTTTCGATCACTTGGAAGTTGGAATCCTTCAATGGTAGCAATGGAGACTGAACTCGACACGAGCCTGTCCGCGTCAGGCATGACGCTGCTCACAGCATGGGTCAGCTACAGGGCCAACTTGGCTTCGTCGAGGCCGTTGACGCCGGGGATCTTCTCCGATCGACTCCTTGAACGGCCAATGACCAATGTGAGACCACAGAACGGCGTTCAGGAAGCCGATGTCGCCGCCGCCAAAGTATCGCTTCCCTTGGCTGCACATGACGCCGGGATGCCTCGTCTGTCCAGATCTCTTGTGTTGCAGGGCGTTTTTTATTTTTCTCAAAAAGAACTTATTTTCAAAAGTGAAATTGTTAGCCACGTTATTTAGACTGACGTGACAAGACAATACTAGCACATCCACTGCATATGGCGCAGCTAAGAGGTTCAGATTTAAAAATAAATTTTTTTAAAAAAAATGGCTTAAAAATCAATAAAAATTCGCAGGGCGGTGAGAACTTTGGAGCCTTTTGGAGCACTCGTACCTGGGTTGGTGATCTGTTAAGACTTTGAGCCTAATATATGGATAAAACCAGAGTTACATAATGCTATGGGCTGGTGACAATTGTTTTCGGCTGGTTAACATCTTAGTTAACGTGAAAAACAATCCCGCAAGTCTCAGATTATATACTGCATCTAGCTAGTAACAAACTTTAATAAATCTCTAATTTGATCTCTTTATCTTATCTAAACTTCAAACCAACTCTGACGATGACCCCGTTCTCCCGTGCAACCTTCATCTTTACGCGTCGCTAGCTGGTAGCTAGCCTATCCCCATCTGACACTAAATACGGTAGCGAATGGCTGATGGTCATTAGAATATCATCATCATCATCAGTAGTAGTAGTAGTAATAAAAGACTGAGAGAAGTAGTAATAAAAGACTCAGAGAGAAGTCTTACAAGCAAAATTACAGACTCAGACGGAAAGGGAAACTACAGTTCCGAAGAAACGAAACAAAACAACGTAAATGACCATCATCTTTCACTAGTGACCATACTAAATGGCAACACGAAGCACGTTGCACGGTGAACTCAAACCAATTTATCGTCAGGCACAAAGCAGCATACCATCCATCACTTGGGAAGAACATTCACAGTATTCAGCACAGAACCATATTGAACGGTGAACTCAACCAATTTATCAGCGTCAGGCACGACGTCCACCACGGCTGGGTGCGCGCAGAAGCGATCCGCCCAAACAGCCAGGATCGGAAGCTTGGTTTCGTTGAGGAGCTCGACGCCGGCGATCTTCTCCACCGCCTTGATCCATCCGAGGAACGAACCCAGAGCGATATCCAGGTAGCCGATGCTGTCGCCGCCGAAGTATTCCTTCCCTTGGCTGCACTTGACAAATGCTTCCTCCAGACGCTGTAGAGTCGTGGACATTTCACCTGCGGTTTGGTCCTTGTCTCCGGCCACCGATCCTCTCAAAACCCGAAGCCCTGGTAGAATCTGCAAAAATATCATCAAAGCAAGAGCAAAAATTCTCCAAGAAACAAGAAGAAAATGTTCAGAGACAAAAAAAAATTACGCAAGACATGCCCTTACCTTGTCATCGACGTACCGTGCCCAGAACCGCTCGACGGCGCGGCCGTGGGGGTCGCGAGGGAGAATGGCCGGGGCGCCGCCATTGGAGGCCGGCCAGACCTCGTCGATGTACTCGACGATGACGAGAGACTCGGGGAGGGGCTTGCTGTGGTGGAGCAGCACGGGGAACTTCTTGTGCACCGGGTTGGACCGGAGCAGCAGCTCGCTCTTCTTCCCCACCGTCTCCTGCAACATCTCGTGCTCCACGCCCTTCAGCTTCAGCGCCACCACCACGCGGTTCGTGAAGGGGCTCGCCCAACCGCCCAGCACGCGCACCGCCGGCGGCGGCTCGCCTGAACTGTTGTTAGTCGACGACATGTTTGCTCGAGTTCGATCTTAATTGCTTTTTGGTTCTTGCTTGGCCGGGAGACTAGACTACTGCTTTAGTGTCCTTCTTGGTTCAGTGAGGAGACTGCTGCTGATATGCATGTGTTTATATGGAATTATGAAGCTCATTTTGCTTACTATGGGCTTTTTTTAGAGCTCCAACTACTAAATTTAGCTCAAGGAGTTGGGTTTGGAGTGAAGTGTGGAGCTGCCTGAACCCAGCTTCACCACTCTAATTCATTTTGTGATAGAGCTCCACGTGGAGCTGAAATTGTTTGGCTGAGCTCCAGTTTCAGCAGAGGTGGAAATGGAGTTGGCGTTGTTCCAAACATACCCTATTAATTGGAAGCATCACCGACGTAGGTAGTTGCGTGCGTATACATGGTTTATTATAGCAGCTGATCCTAGTGTTCAATTTTTCCGGTGGGATTGCCTTATAGTGGCGAACACAACTTTAAAATATAAATGGGACGACATCTGGCAAAGGACTAGCCCTAGTTGGATGATGTCCTAGTACACACAAATTATAGTCGTCGGTTCATGGCACCGACACAGCAGTGTACCACATGAACATCGAGCAATTTAAGAACAAAAATTAACAGTGGAGCAAATGTTGGAGTTAGATAGGTGAAGCAATGAGCATGAAAATGAGACGACGATGGAAGCCTCGTGGCTGGAATTCGGGATCAAATGGTCGAACACAAAATTAATTATTTGAAAACGATTTGCAGGCATTGGGGATTTTTTTTAATTATTTAAAAATTCCATTTTAATCTCCCGACTATTTCATTGGATCACTTAACATCTAAATTTTTTTTTCTCATTTTACTTATAAAATTTTAAAAAAGATTCACTTTACTGTCCTCAATAATATTTCTCTTTATATGAGTCGTATTTTAAGAAAAAAGCCATTTAAATGACATCATTATCAAAGTTTCAAAATTTGTGCTTTCATCTTATGTAAACAGTGGTAAAAAAATTATTAACAAAATGTTAACGGGTACCCCTCCGTTTCATACTATAAATCGTTTGACTTTTTCCCTAGGCAAACTTTATTATGTTTGATCAAGTTTATAGAATAATCTAGCAATATTTAAAATATCGAATTAGTTATATTAAATCTAACATTTGATATATTTTGGTAATATATTTGTTTTGTGTTTAAAATAGTATTATATTTTCCTCTAAACTTAGTCAAATTCAAAAAGTTTAAATAGAAAAAAAGTCAAACGACTTATAATATAAAACGGAATGAGTAGGTTATAATGGATCTACTAATTCTCTGAAATTTACATCCAAGCGAGACTAAGTGATTTTTGTTTAAAATTTGAGAGACATTCTTATCATTTAGTATAACAAAGACTACGATTTATTTCATGGCATAGTTATTTTTTCTTCTTCTTTAGTTACCATTATAAAATAATTTACTCTTATGGTGAATATATAAGATGAATATGATAAGATAATACTTCTTTTAGTGTTTTTTTATTATAAAAAATAAAATGCCCGCCCATCAACACGGTTTCCTTCCTACTTAAGCACTAAAAATTATGGAACCAGATCCGATGATGTAATGCAGTACATGCAACACAAAGGAGAATGCTTAATTCGCTGATCACTTGGGAGCATCCAAAGCCTTCATCGAAGCGGCATGCTTAACGGCGAACTCGACCAATTTATCGGCGTCAGGCATGGCGTCCACCACGGCCGGATGCGCGCAGAAGCGATCCGCCCAAGCAGCCAGGTTTGGAACCTTCGCCTCGTCAAGGAGCTCGACGCCGGCGAACTTCTCCACCGCCTTAATCCATCCGAGGAACGACCCAAGAGCGATGTCCAGGTAGCCGATTTTGTCGCCGCCGAAGTATTTCTTCCCTTGGCTGCACTTGACAAATGCCTCCTCCAGATGCTTCAGAGCGGTGGACATTTCAACCACGGTTCCTCTCCGGCCACGGTTCCTCTCAACACGCGAGTCCCCCGAGGAAACTGCACACAAATTATCCAAGATGAGAGCAAAATCATCCGGCTAAAAAGGATTAAAAAGAAGAAAAATTCAGATGAATTTGCAGTTTGAGGACGCGCGAGACTGTGTCTGTACTTACCTTGTCGTCGATGTACTGTGCCCAGAACCGCTCGACGGCGCGGCAGTATGGGTCACGGGGCAGTATGGCCGGGGCGCCATCGGAGGCCGGCCAGACCTCGTCGATGTACTCGACGATGATGAGAGACTCGGCGAGGGGCTTGCCGTGGTGGAGCAGCACGGGGATCTTCTTGTGGACCGGGTTGGACCGGAGCAGCAGCTCGCTCTTCTTCCCCCTCGTCTCCTGCAACAGCTCGTACTCCTCCACGCCCTTCAGCTTCAGCGCTACCACGACGCGCATCACGAACGGGCTCGTCCAACTGCCGAGCACGCGCACCGCCGCCGCGGGCTCGGCTGAACCGCTCGTCGACGACGAGGACATTTTTACTCGATGTGGCCAAGAAACAGAAGCTGCTGGTTTACTCGAGTTCAGTGAGCAGACTGAAGCTGATGTGTAGTTGTGCACTAGTTTAGTTTATATGGACCGCTTTTTTCTTACTACCTCCGTTCCATTATAAGTGCAGTTATGGTTTTTCGCGCCTAACTTTAACCGTCCGTCTTATTTGAAAATTTTTTTTAAAAAAATTTAAAAACATAAGTCACGAGTAAAATACTATTTATATTTTATCATCTCATAACAATAAAAATACTAATTATAAAGATTTTTCAAATAAGACAAACGATTAAAATTTGACGTGAAAACCTATGATTGTACTTATAATGAGGCGGAGGTTGTACTATTGAAAGCTGCTTTGACGTACGTCGTTGCGTGCGTCATAGTATGGCACTATGGTTTATCTTGGTGTTTGTCACGCTTGGAGCGGACTGGTTAATTAGCAGTCTAGCAGTGGGCTGATGTGTCTCTTGATGTGTTCTCTTTCGTCATGTGAAGGGGATTTTCTGTGGTTGTAGCGATGGAACACAATCTCCATGGCCACTATTTCACACCCTCAAGCGATTGCTATGTCCGCGCCGCTGGCCACCTTCTCCATCATTATTAGGTGAGGCCGGAGATGAACGAGAGGCAGCACTGACGCTGCTCCTCGTCGTCCAGGCAATGGCCGCGGTCTCCAGACAGGTTTCTCCTGCAGCGTGCGCTATACCCCGATGGCACACGCGCGCGCTTGTGTGCTCCTTATCCTTTTCCTCTCCTCCTGGTAAATGCCCGTGCCTGCACCCTCTTCCTCTGCTCTTCGATCCCCAATGGCACGGACTCGGACACCAGCATGGTAATGGCAGCACTGAGTAGCGACACCGGCAATGGGGCGGATGGACAGACTCGCCAGTGGTATGGCAGACGGACAGATTGATCGCTGTATGACGGCCCGATCTTAGGTCACAATATTTTGGACGGAGGAAGTAGCTATGTAGGATTAGATTTGACATCATCTGCGAATCTAAACAACATGTTCAGCTTCGTAGTGCTAGGTTACGTCAAATCTAGTTCAGGTTCATAGTTGTTGGTGATGTTAATCCAATACATTTTAGAACGGAGGTAATATTTTTGAGTTTGACTTGGTGATGAAATAAATTTAAAGCCTGATTCTTTAATTCAATTCTAAACTTTAACTTGCTCATTTTTCGTTAGCGTATTTTTTTAACTTATTAAATGGTGTATTTATTTCAAAAGTTTTCTATACAGAAGTTGTTAAGAAAATCAAATAAATATATTTTTTTCAAGTTTAAAATAGTTAATACTTAATTAGTTGTGTGCTAATCAGCTTTCTGTTTTGACATGCGCTGAAAATCTGGCTCAGTTTGGAGCGAAGGATTCAAGGAACGCAGTAGGTGCCCGTCATTAGCACGTGTTTTTTTAGACAAGTCCCAAAAACAACAGTTTGGGAAGACAAAGCGTAGAGGTTACAACAGATCAAGTGATTGTAGGGAGGAAGAAATTACATGTTTCCAGACCGGGATTATGACCCTGTCTTCAGCGTTGAAACGCACAGCCCAAAACTTGATCTCGTCTTGGCATTTTCTCAAAGCTGAACCCAGCGAAGGTTGGACGTTCCGAAAAACCACATCAATGCCGGTGAACCCAGAGAAATATCTTTGCTGGGTCATTAGCACGTGTTGCTAGCTTCTACTTTCTTTTGGGAGAAAAGAAGGCACAAGGTACGCGTCACTGATCAGATCATCGACGCAAAATGTTTTACCAGCAGCTGAGCCAAGTAGGACTACGCAAGCACAGGATGATATACTCTCTGCTTTACTCTGTTTTATCTGAAAAAACACGGATGTGGATTTTCATCCCTCGAGGGGACATCCCCTTGTTGTTTGCATGTCATCTAAATAGTTATCAAAAAAATTGAAAAAAATTGACAACATAAATTAATACGAAATATATCACTCCACAAACATGCAAGACCAAATTCAACTCCTATAAGTTGCAACAAAAATAATAAATTAAACTGAAAATAGTTATGGCACATTCGCAACTATATTTGTTATTTTTGTTACAACTTGTAGAAGTTCAGTTTAAACTTGTATGTTTGTGGAGTGATATATTTCAAATTAATCTATGTTGCTAATTTTTTTCATATTTTTATGACTATTTAGGTGACATGCACGAAAAACACTGCAGGCCGAGGCACCGACTATATATATATACCGTGTGACTGCGTCCTCGATACTTCTTCCCAAAGAGAGCGAGCCGATCGAGCAGAAGAGAAGCCAAAAGCTCCAATCTTCGAAACGTGCGTAGAACACTCGATCGCCATGGCCGGAGGAGGAGATGAGCTGAAGCTGCTGGGGATGTGGGCGAGCCCGTTCGCGCTGCGAGCGAAGCTCGCGCTCAGCTTCAAGGGCCTGAGCTACGACTACGTCGAGGAGGACTTCAAGAACAAGAGCGAGCTGCTCCTCAGCTCCAACCCGGTGCACAAGAAGGTTCCCGTGCTCATCCACAACGGCAAGCCCATCTGCGAGTCGCAGGTCATCGTACAGTACATCGACGAGGTGTTCCCCGACGCCGGCGTCACCCTCCTCCCCGCCGACCCCCACGATCGCGCCGTCGCTCGCTTCTGGGCCTCCTACATCGACGAAAAGGTTGTTACGATGATCATGTACTAGTAGAGTACTCTTCTGTTGATTATTACTCCCTTCGTATTTTAATGTATGACGCCGTTGACATTTTAACCAATGTTTGACCATTCGTTTTATTCAAATTTTTTATGCAAATAAAAAATACTTATGTCACGCTTAAAGAACATTTAATGATAAATCAAGTCACAATAAAATAAATGATAATTACATAAGTTTTTTGAATAAGACGAAAAGTCAAACGTTTGTTAAAAAGTCAACAGCGCCATACATTAAAATACAGAGGGAGTACTTGATTTTCTCTTGGCATTTGTGTGATTGATTGGTGTATACGTGTTCTGTGCGTTTGCAGCTGTTCGGTGCGTGGATTCCGGTGTTCAGAGGCAAGACGGAGGAGGAGAAGGCGGAGGGGGTGAAGCAAACGTTCGCGGTGGCGGAGAAACTGGAGGGAGCACTGAGCGAGTGCTGCAAGGGGAAGCCCTTCTTCGGCGGCGACACCGTCGGCTACGTCGACGTCGTGCTCGGAGGCTTCGTCGCGTGGGTGCACGCCATCGAAGAGGTGTTCGGCCTGAACCAGTTCGACGCCGCCAAGACGCCGCTCCTGGCGGCGTGGTTGGAGCGCTTCGACGAGCTCGACGCCGCCAAGGAGGCCATGCCGGACATCGGCAGGCTGGTCGAGCTCGAGAAGATGAGGCAGGCACAGGCACAGGCGGCGGTATATTGAAGTTTGAGCGCAACTATATTTGATTATCGTGTGCTTTGATATTTTCGCAGTTTTTGGCTGTACGCCTGTACCTCTTATTGTTTCTGCAACCGTGTTTCATCAGTTCATGTTGCCGCACCGTGTATGTTTCTCCATGTGTCGCTGAAGTTGCCAACTGGGTATTCTACAACGTGTTACGTCCATATTGGTATGTTGATTAGTTTGGAGATGGATTTTTATCTCTCGACCGGACGTTGTCTCATTTTTACATATCACCTAAATAATAATTATTTTTTAAAAAAATCTATAATATAGATTAATATGAAATATATCGCTCCACAAATATCCAAAGTCAAATTCGACTTCTACAACTTACAACAAACATAACAAATTAAACTGAAAATAGTTAGTGTACATTGTCAGTTATACTTGTTATTTTTGTTACAGCTCGTAGAAATCGGATTTGAGGTTACATGTTTATAGGGTGATATATTTCATATTAATCTATTTTGCTAATTGTTTTTTCAGTTTATAGTATCATGCAAGAAACGAGAGATAACTTTTAGATTAGGTTCAATAATATTTATTTGAGTGGATTGCACATTAGGCTACATATATTTACCTAAGTTTTAATGGGCCATCCTCTAACGTGTAGGAAAATTTCCAGCTAATTAGGGGTTAATATAATATAATTCAAATTTAAATTGTTAAGTCAAACCGGGTTTTGGAAGTTGGAATAACCTTGGTAGCACCAGGATCTTGCATGTTGAGAACAATCCCTGCTCCCGTAGTTCACGTTGTAGTGATGTCATACTCGCTAGTCGCTACTACTTGCGAAACAAGATATCAGGGAAATTCATTAATTTCATGAGTTGTTTTTCACATCAAGTCAATTATAGAGAAGTCTAAAAATCCATAGGGTTAAGTTCAATTTTGCCCTACAACTTTGCTCAAAATCCATTTTCACCTTTAACTTTGTTTTTCACCTTCAACTTTTAAAACTCAACACTTTACACCCTAAAGGCTTAAACATATTTTAGGATGGTTCTGATCAATATCTATTGTTTTTTTTCCCTGAGCTTCATTCAGGTAGGTTTTATAGTTGTGGACCACTTATAACTGATATCTACATCAACAAAACTAGCCACATATAGTCACGCTTTGCGCGACTTTTGATCCTGTTTAAGAACTTTTCTATATGGTCTATTTAAGCTTATAAGAGAGTTTTGACATAATAAATTAATTTCTTTACGAAGTATTGATTTTCCTAGCCAACTATAGATTTAACTAAATTGCACTATATATTTATAAGAGAAATCACTAGAAGCCCTGTCACGCCCCGAACTAGTACCGACCGGAACTAGCCCGTGACGCTCCAAATTAACCTGTTAATTGATACCAGTCCCAGGAAACAGTGCTGGTATCACGGAAGACAGAATATCACAGCAACAGAGGTCTCTTTATTATAGAGTAGGAGTACAGTCATGTTGGGCTGCGGACAGATCCCGAGCTCACAACTGTATTACAAAAGGGAAACGGAAGCCAAGACTTGGGCCAAACAACACAGGCGCGACTTGGGAACTAGGCCGAAACCCTAAAACTCATCGTAGCCGGCTTGCTCCTGGAAGAACTCCTCATCAGCAGGATCCGCTTCATCTTCTTCAGCAACTGGGGGGATTATTTATATAGAGCAAGGGTGAGTACAGGAGTACTCAGCAAGCCATGGGAAATAAGTGTTTAATGCAGGCTTCAAGGGAAGGGCTGTTGTTTTTGCGATTGATTTTATTTGAACTCTTTTCTGAAAACAACTAAGTGAGTGCTTCTCAAACGACACGGATGAGACAGTGCGTCTCGTCCGGTCGGAGTATGTGCAATGTATCAGTCTTTAAAATTGATCAAGATTGGCACCCGGCCAACAACTTTCAAACGGCCACCCAGGCCAACAACTTTCAAACGGCCACCCGGGCCTAGCTGATCCCATCAGCTGCAGATTTTTCAAACATCGAACCCCTTTCCACATCAGCAATTTCACAAGGCAGTAGGCAAACAAAACTACGCTAGGAATCACCTCACATCCACCCATGACCGTGGGCACGGCTGTTCGAACAGTTTGTTAACCTCTGCAGAGGGGTACACTTTACCCACACGACATTACTAACCCGGATCACCCAGCCCGTGGGGATCAGCCACGTCGGGAGACCTCCAAGCTTTCATGACAAGGCATTTCCAAAGCCGACACAGGTTTACCATATGCCGACGAGAGGGGTCCCAGACCAACAATAGGTTAGGTCCCAGACCATACTGTGCCAGGAAGCCCAGGGGTCCTCCCCGACACCACCCCGGCGAATCCACATGTCTCTCGGCATCAAGGCTCCCCTGATAAGCTAGTTACTCAGCCAGGGGTGTCCCATTCCACCCATGTGGTCGTACTTGTCTTATGTTCGGATGAAATTCCAAGGAAACGGTCCTTAAGTGCAAGAGCGGGAAACCGTACACCCGGTACGTTCCCCGGTCCGCGGTTTTAGAAAATTCATTTAGTTCGCAAGCACCGACCCAGGTGTCGGGTTTTCCAAGTCTTTTGTAAAACCCAAGTTTTACCCAAGAAGTTTTTCAGATTTTAAGTTTGAAGGCGACCGTCGATACTCGTGCAGAGTGCACGATTTCCGAGGCGCAACTGGGTGGTTACAAGGGAACATGGCATAACAATTAACAAAGGAAGGATCAAATGCAACAAACTAGGTAGGTCCGCCAATCTGCCTTGCAGACGGGACAAACAGATTAAGTGCGATCCTATCAATGCATAATATTTTTCAAGCAACATAATTAAATTCAGATATAGGCTCAAGATGTTCAAAGGTGGCTTGCCTTGCTCGAGATCTGGAGCTTGATCTTCGAAATCCTCGCACTGCGGGTCTTCGGGCTCCGAAACTACACGCAAAACGGGACGACTCAACAAACGGCGAAAATAAAGCCCTATTAATGACCTCTAAGCGTGCCATTAGATAGATCTCGAGATTTGAGGAATTTTGGAAGTTGAACGGAGTCAAACGGATTTACGGTTGGGAAGATATTGAATTTCTAAGATTATTGGATTTTTGGTCTAAAGGAAAAGGATTTAATTAAATCCTTTTTGAAAAAGAAAAGAAAAGAGGGAGGGAAATTAGACTTCCCTCGGGCGGCAAGGGCGCGGCCCGAGAGAAAGGAGGCGGCTCGGCCGAGCTAAATGGGCCGGCCGGCCCAAAGCGCGCGCGCGGGAGGAGAAGAGAGAGAGAGCCGGTGGACCGAGTCCATCTCGCGTGGTCCCGGGTGGGACCCGCTTGTCGATGACACGGTTCACCATGCGGAGGGAGTACGCGGCGCGGCGCTAGGGTTTGGGGGAGGGACGCGGCGCACGCGCGCGGTTCGCGGTGGACGCGGATGCGGCGGGCCCACGCGCACGGGGAGGGGCTGACCGGGGTCGGCTCGACCCGGTCTTGGCCGAGCTGGCGCCGACGTGGCGCCTACGTGGCTGCCACGCGGGCCGGCGGGAGGTAGACGACGACGCCGGCCGGAACGGACGGCGGACGACAGCGGCGAGCGGCGGAGCGAACCACGTCTATACAGGCGAAAACGAGCACACCGGGTGGTTGCACAGGACGAGGGGAGACGAGCCAACGGCTCGGATTCGCCGGAGGATGCCCGACGGTGGCGAATTGCGGCGGCGGCAACCGGCGGTGGGAGAAGGGGGAAACGGCGACGAGGTCACGAGGGGCCGATTCCCGGCGGCGAGAGCATCTACGCGGCTACGGGAATCCGATGCTAGCGTTGGATTGGACGGAGCTGCGCCGAGCGAGGCTGGCGATGAGCAGCGCTTCCGAGCTCGGGCGGCGACGGCGGCGAGCACACGGCGAGCGGCGGCAACGGTCGGGGCGGCGCCGGCTAGCTACGGGGAGGCTACTCGTGCTACTACCCGAGTCTAAGGGGAGGAGATGGAGCAAGGGGGGAGAACGGGGAGATGCACTACCGTGCGGGCGGGCGCAGTGACGAGAGGCCGACGGCGCGGGAGTGATCTCTCCGGCCTCGGGCCGGGGAAGAGGAAGGAGAGGGCGCGCCCGGAGTCCCCCTTCCGCGTCCTTGCTCGTGCCGGCTCCTCCGACACGCGCAACGACGAACGGCGACGGCGAACAGAGCATGGGAGGCGGCAACAATGGAGTGGAGGTGATGGGACAAGGAGAGGAGAAGAGAGGAAGGGCGCCTGGGCTTTATAGGGCGGCGATGTCGGTTTGGAAACCGACGTTGGGCGGTCAAGGGAGGGAGCTCGCGCTCGGTGGTCGCGGCCAAAGCGGCGACAGGGGGGGATGACGCCGGCGGGAGGAAAAAGGGGAAAAGAGGGAGAGAAAAGGGGGCTTGCCCCCTTGCCTCTTCGGGAAAAAGGAGGAGGGAGCGGGGGCGACGTGGCAGAGGGAAGAGGAGCTCTGCCTCCGTCCCTTGGCAGCTTGCGCGTGGAGTGGCGGGGGCCGGGCGATGACGACGGCGATGACGGCGGGGCGGTGTGGAGCGGCGGACACGGGCGACAGGCGCGGCAGAGGCTGACGGCGGCGGCGACCAGGCGGTCGGCCACCACGGCACGCGCTCGCGGGAAGCAACGGGCGGCGCGGTGGTTTGAGCGGCGCGGCTCGGGCACGCGCGCTGGCGTGCGGGGCCGAGCGGCTGCGCGGCTACAGGCGCGGCAGGGCAGCGGGGCCGGGCGGCGCAGACGGCGCAGGCGCGGCAGGGCAGCGGCCACGCGGGCGCGCGCACGTGAGGGGGGAGGGCTCGGCTCGGCGCGGCTCACGCGCACGCGCGCGCGGCGCGCGGGCAGAGTGGAGAAGAGGGAGAAAGAGAGAGAGAGAGAGAGACCCGGGGAGGGAGGGGGAGATGGGCCGAGAGAGATTCGGCCCATCGAACCCGAGGGAGGCAAAATAGACTTTTGCGGAGGAATTGATTTGGGAAGGATTTGGATTCGGGATTGAACTCGGCGATAGATCGGGGATTTGAGATCTGAGATGGCACGGATAGTAGACAACAAGCGAAGAAACAAATTTCGCAATTAGGGTTTTTTAAGAGAGAATTTTCCCGCTAGGCGCCACGATGGAACGGGCGCTACAAGCCCCGTGTTTCTTCTTTCTCTATCCCC